GAATGTGGCAGAGCAGTTTAGAAAGTGGGGCCTTTGGAGAGAGAACTGAACCATGGCCTAAGCCCTAGGTCTGTGTCACTGTCCAACCCACTAAGTGACATTGAACAGGTCCCTCTGCCCCCCACCACAAAACTCAAAGGCAGTGCTTGACTTGGAAAAAGGGATCCAGGATGGTTGTCCTGGATCAACCTCAGGTCAAGGCTGTGTCTGGCAGTATCCCCAGCTCCATCTAAGCCCCAAATTGCCCCTGTCCCCATCTCCCAAGGCCAGGTGGCACACCCCAGGAGGCAAAGGGATGGCTAAAGCACCCTCCATGGATGCTTCTGTGGTCACAAAAATGAACTTAGCATGTATCACATGACATCTTCCTCATCAAAATAAAAAGGAAACTGATAGGCAGGTGCCATGTGCCAAATCTAACAAAACAAGATTTAGCAAGGATGAATGTCAGGCCCTGAACTTGAGTTTAAAATTCTAAGCATATAAGCACAGAATGTTGGAGGCAGGACTTAAAAGTGGCATGTGTTGGAAAGCTGTTAGTGTTTTAGGGGGTGGTAAGCTTGATGTGACTCAAGGAGCTGGTAGCAACAAACATTCATCCTAGAAGTGGAAATGTTTACAGTGTGCTCAACACAGTCTCACACTATCCTCAAAATAACCTCCAGTGTCAATATTACCCTGTTACCCCATTTTGCAGAAGGGGAAATGAGGCACTGAGAAATTTAAGTAATTTATCCAAAATCTCCTGTTTAGTAACTGGTAGAGCCAGAATTAAAGTGAATCCAGACCCTGCATGCTCCAGGATAGAAGCATGCAAGCAGCTGAGACAGGGAGGCCACAGCCATTCTAAGACCAGCACTCCAAGTCTTCATTAGAGGCAAAATGACACACATTCAAAAGAGGGTGTTCCAGAAGGTTGAGAAAAGGAATGTTGGGGAATATCACATTATCCATCTTCATCTACCAGATGCTCCAGCCTCAATGTGGGGAGGCATTCTTGATACCACCCTCAAATCCATTCTCCTACATCAACCCATTACCACCTCCTCGGGTCACACCTAGTTTAAACCACCAGGAGCCCTAAAAACTTTTCCACTGATGCCATGTCTAAGCCCTGCCTTCCCAAATTCATGTCACCCAGTTCTCTCCATCCACAGACACTGCCCCAGTCTAAGGCAGCAGCACCGTCGACACTCCTGACTACGCACCCCCTTCTTCACCCCTTCACTGTCAAACTGCTCTCCACACCACAGTCAGAATGGGCTCTGACAACCAAAATGGAACCATGCCACTTTACTAAATGAAGCCCTTTCATATCTCATGCTCTGTGGGGAGCCCAGCTCCTAACTCAGGTCCTACTTCACCCTCCAGCCCCCTCTCTCAGGGCCCCATTCATTGGTTCTATCCATGCTACGTCAGCTTCTGCTATATGTCAGGCTCCTTCTGGCCCCAAGGCCCTCACACATGCTGTTCCCCCTGCCCAGAATGTTCTTCCCTAGCCCTCAACTCCTACTGCTGCTCCTTCTCATCCTTCAGGCCTTGGTCCAAGTGTTATTTCCTCTTATAAGGCTCACACACTCACACTCCCAAGTTCTGTTCTTTGCCTCCTTCATGGGACACTACACAATTTGAAATTATGTATTTATTTGTGCACTTACTATAAATTCCATGAGCACAGGGGCCATTTTGTTTTGTTTACACAGCAAGCCCAAGACCAAACACAGAGGCACATGGTAAGTGTTCAATAAATATTTGTTAAGCAAATGGAGGGCCTGGAGAAGAGGTTCAGAGAGTCGCGAGCCGTCCAAGCCTGAGAGAGCACTGTGGAATATGTGATCCCATATGTCAGAAGTGGGGCTAACTAACACAGTACTTTTTGCATGCTAGGCACTGCCCTAAGTACTTTCTAAATAGTAATCTGTAAGTCCTCATAACAGCCCTGTGAGGTGGGTGCCAGTATTACACTGTCTTATGTAAGGAACAGAAGCCCAGAGAGACTAAGTAACTCACCCAAGACTCCACAGTCATTAGAAGGGCAGAGCCAGTTGTTGAACCAGAGTCCAAACTTTCAAGCACCTCAACAAGAGGCCAGTGTGTGGAAGCTCCTCGGAATCCCCACTCTGCACCCACAGAAGACCCTCTCTAAGGGAGAGGCCCAGAGGTAAAGAGCTGACTCCAGAAGCCTGGCGAGCCAGCATGGTAGAGGGAGTACAGCCTGGATACAGCTGCCCTCAGTGACCTGCAGGGCCTCTCTCTCAGCTTATGCCCTAGACACGGCTGCTAGGGGAATAAAATAGTTTAGCGGAAATGAAGGTGCTGACAAAATTGGAACATGCTCCCTGAACACAAGGTCGTGCAGCTTTCCAGGCTGGCAGGACTGGAATGTCAGAGAGATCTTCTAGTCAGGCTAAAAGTTGAGGTGTTCACTAAATCAACCCACTTCTTCCCTTCCAGCCCTCCCTGACTGTCCTCTGTTCCTGCCCTTCCCCAACTCCAGGAGCCAGAGAGGGGAGAGTGAGACAAATAGAGCAAGGAGACAGTCAACACAAGAAAAGATAGGCTGCTTTTAAAACAAAAATCCAAATTTCCCTTCCTGATTTATGGGATTTCAGCCATGCTGAGAGCACTGGAATCAAACTGAAACCCTTGGGCACATCCTGCAGTGGCTCAGCACAGGCTTTGTTTTGCAGGCAGGTTGACTCGGCCTGCTCTGGAATTTTGCTGACAAAGGCACCAGTGCAACCCAGAGAGAGGGATCTGGTGCAAGGAGAGCTAGTGGCCCCCATCCTGTGGAATGGCCAAGGCCCTAGGGGTCCCTGGCATTATTCAGAGGAACTGGGAGGGTGATCCTGAGCAGACAGCTGGATGAGAGCTGGCAGGACCCAGCCTGAGGATCACTTTGGTTGTTTGGGTTGCTCTGCCCCGCCTGCTGCCTGCTGCCTGCTGCAACAGCTGTGCATGGTGGGCAGAGATAAGTGCTCTGCCAGAGCCTGGCTCAGCTGTTTGGGCCCCAAGGGATGGTGAAGGAGTGGGCTGTGACCAGGAGACATCATGTAGCTGCCACCTAAAGATGAAGGACAGGAAGATGAAGAGAGAGGATGGAGGTGGCTCCTGAAGTGGGGGAAAAAGAGAAAGGGAGAAGTTAGGGCACTGAAAAATAAACACATGAAAAAGGAAAGGAAAGAGGAAGGGAGGGAGGAGCTTTCTGTATCCTCCTAAAAGGCAAAATGGAGAAGATGACTTCATCCCAAAATTTCATCAAGAAGTGTTGGGTTAAATCTGAGAAAGAAGGGACACCCTACCTACCTGTACCCACTGACATGAGTTACACATGAGATGCCTTCCTCAGAACGGGGAGAAGGAAGGAGTTGGCCATGAATAAATGCAGGGACGTGTGCCTGGGGACCTACAGAGGTCCTTCTATGTTGAATTTATGATTTTCTAAGAGCCAAGGAAAGGACAGAGAAGCAAGAACGATTCCCAAGAACTGGAGAAAGAGGACAGAGCTGACATATCCTGAGGGCCACTGGATCAGGCACAGTGTGAATGCTCTGCCAGTGTAGCCTCATTTTGAATTCATACACTGGCCTGTGCAGGTGCTGTGTCTCTCTTTCATAAGGGGCTAACTTGAGAGCCGTACACAGAAGAACAGCAGTTAAGTAACACAACAGAATGTGAACTCAGGTCTGACACAATAGTCTATGCTTGGGAAAAGGCAGTAGGAGGAGGCTTAGTGGTGGTCGAGGAAGACTATGCTGAACCCCAGAGACCAAGCTCAAACTTCTGGATCTGATATGGAAGAGTAGCTTGTGACCTTGGACAACTTCCAAGTCCTAGTCTCAGTTTCCCCTCTAAGGTGGGGAAACTGAGACTAGGTACTCACTAAAACCTTTTTCAACTCGAACCATGTAATGTTTAGTTGGGAACTTGCTTCCCATTGTATTTTATTCTTAATAATCTTACTTCTTCTGGTATTACATTCTATTCTGGGCATTCACTCTAGGTGTGGAGACCCCTGCCTACAGCCCATTCAAGATGGAGAGTAGAGACTGGAAATTATGATGACACCTTCTCTAACTGGGTATGATCACGTAACTAACCAAATACATAACCAGTTCTTTATTCAGCCTACTGTGTGCCCAAACAGGTGCTCAGCTGGTGATACAAGAGAGAATGAGACTTAATCTCCAACTCCAAGGAGCTTCCAGGCTAATGGGAAAGCCACATCCACATCCATAAACCATGCTGGCCCAGTGTGATCAGAGATCACTGACACCTCATAGAAAAGGCTGGGTGCTTACCAAGGTCTGCATGAGCTGAGATCATGGGCATTTGGGGCCATATGATCTTGGTTTTGATAGCTGTGCTTTGGCCCCATGGATGCGGGCTACCTCTGACCTTGGGGTCCCATTGGAGAAAAGGTGATCGGTTGTCTCTTACTGCAGTTGGCAGTCTCTGGGGGAATCTGGCATAGCTTGAATGTGGCCAGGCAACAGTGATAAGTGTGCACATGAGACAAACAGAAAGTGATGTGGCCACACTGAAGAGGGGTGAATACTCGGACTGTGGAAAGGAAGACCCTACGAGGAGGAGGCCAATGTTGTAGAGGAGGGTCTTCCTGACAGAAGGGATGAGAATGTTTCATAAGCCTGTAGGAAAGAAAGCAAGAGGCCTATTTCCGGGATTGCAAGTACCATATTCTTCCATGTAAAGAGCACTTTTTTGCCCAAAGTTTTTAGGGAAAAATAAGGATGTGCATTATATATGGGTAGTGCTAATTCTATCTATATAAAGATTCTTAATTCTTTTATTTATGTTTATGCATTAAAAGTATAACTCTAGAGAGCAATAATGATATCTGTATGCAAATTAATACACAGGAATACAGTAATCAGTCTAGTTTCTCAATATAAATAAATAAATAAATAAATAATTGAATTAAAAAATTAAAACTATGGGTTGAATATCGAATGTCCTGAGAGGTCGGATTGCTGTCAGCCATGGCCCATGGACATGGACATGGACGTGAACATGGTCACAGTAAAATGGAACTTCCAGATAATAAACAATGGAAGACAGAAAGGACACCATTAGAAACTGTGCAGGAGAGGCTGGCTGCACAAGGGCTAAGGGACCCATGGGGCTGCAATGAAGCTTGGAGACACATTGGTGGCTTTGCAAACAACGTTTCCTTTATTGGTGCATTATTGAAAGGATTCAAGTGGGGATTTGCTGCACTTGTGGTAGCTGTAGGGGCTGAATGTTACCTGGAGTCCCAGAATAAAGGTAAGAAGCATCACTGAAGATAATATCTGGAAGTATCTTAATGGCTTCTTAACTCTCTTAAAAATAAGATTTCTTCACTGTAGACTATTCTTCTGTGTGTTTGTCTGTTAAAGAATACTAGTGAGATTTAATAAAGAATACGTGGGCCAGTCAAAAAAATAAAAAATAAGTAAAAAATTAAAATGAAAGATATTTTTCCTGAAAGTTTGGGCCAAAAACATGGGTATGCAGTATATGTGGGTGCACAACATACATGGGAGCACACTATACACACCAAAATATGGTAACTACTTGACTTGGCTCAAAGGTAAAAGGCCTGGAAGTTGTGGTAAGAGACAGTAGCAAAGTGGTGGACAAAGCCAACTTAGAGCAGGCCTGGCCTTTACCCTGAGAGCAAGTTTTCCCTCCTGCCGTTGTCCAGAACAACTCTGCTATAAATAGTCCCCTTTCCTGCCCTCCTTTACAAGGCTTCGAGCAGCCTCAGATAAAGTTCCATCTGCTTAGGCTGGTCAATTCCTGCCCATCCTCTAAGGCCCTGTTCAGATTCCCTTTCCTCCAGGAAGCCTCTTTGGACTACTTCATCTCATTCATCCATTCATTCATTCAACAAATGTGCATTAAGCCCCTCCAGTGGACTAAGCACTGGTCATAAACAAACATATATGGTTCTCACCCTCATGCATCCTGAGGATACGATGGTTTGGAAGCCTCAGTGATGTCTCCTTTTTTGATCTGCTCGAGGCATGCAACCAGTGAGGATGTCAATACACTTCTATCAGCAGTCACTTCACTTCTAGACAAATAGCTCCTTGATACAGAGACCAGAACTCCCCATCTCTGTATTCTGGAGTTGGTTGGCACAGTGCTGGGCACATTGAGGTGCCCAACTCATCTTTTAAAGATGTCTGGCTTTCCAACATTAATCAAAGTGGGGGTTCAATCCAAGATAGCAGAAGAGTAAGTGGAAGCTACACTAACTTCCTCCCAGGACCAATCTGGAATTACAACAAAATTGTAGAGAAAGCATCCTGAATAACCACTGAACACTAGTTGGAGGGAAGCCTTAAAACCAAGGAAAGACAGAAGAAACTACTTCACCACAATGAGACTGGTTGGGAGTGCGGAGGAGGAACAAGAGAGCTGGCTGGGCTCCCACAGGTAGCATCTGAAGTTTCAGCAGCTGGGCGTTTCCTCTTAGAAATATGGGGTCTCAACCCCAAGATGGGCTCCCCAGCCAATAGTACCAGAGCTGGAAAGGAACCCAGAAAACATCCAGCTGTGAAAAGCAGCAGGGTTTCTCTCTGCCAGGGAGAGATGCCTGGAGACAAAGAGAGCCTCTTAAAAGGCCAACACACACAATTTTGTTTGCAGCCACTTACCCGGCACTCCAGTAGAGGAAGAGCAGAGTGGACCAGAGATGTTTAAAAAGAGTCTGGGGTTGGTGGTTCTGGGGAGAGAACTGAAGGAACAGCCACCAGGATCTGAGATGACTCATTCCCCATACTGCAGAAACCATCTTTCTCAGGCAGAGCACTCCTCTCCAAGTGGCATCAGCCTGGGGGGAAGCAAAAGCAGCTGGCCAATAGGAATTACTCTGCCCCACCCTGTGGAGCTAAGCTAGGCTGCTGATTAAAGCTTGATTAGTTTTTTAAAACTGTCAGTTTAACAACTGATTAGTTTAACAAGTAAGGTAGAAAATATGAAGAAACAGCCAAAGCAGGAAGAGAAAGAAACAAGCCCCAGATGAAAGAATAAGAGAATTATCTAGATGAAATGAAGGCAAGCAATTTATCAGATAAAGAGTTTAGAGTAATGATTATAAGGATACTCAACAGCATGAAAAAAACCATAGAAAGCATTGAAAAGGACCAGTCGGAAATAAAGAATGCAATATCTGAAATAAATAATACACTAAAAGGAATAAACCATAGGTTAGATGAAGCAGAGGATCATGTCAGTGATCTGTAAGAGAAGGTAGGAAAAAAAAACAAACACACACCCAGGTACAGCAGCAAAAAGAAAAAAGAATTTTAACAAATGAGGAGAATTTAAGAAACATTTTGGGCAACATGAAGCATAAAAACATCCACATAATGGGAATACCAGAAGAAGAGAGTGAGCAAGGAATTGAGAACCTATTTGAAGAAATAATGACCAAAAACTTCCTTAATATGGTGAAGGGAAAAGATACACAATTCCAGGAAATTCAATTCAGAGTCCCCAAAACATTGGACCCACAGAGGCCTACACCAAAACATATTATAATGAAAATGACAAAGCTTAAAGACGAGGAGAGAATCCTAAAAGCCACAAGAGAAAAACAGTTACCTACAAGGGAACAATTAGACTGTCACCTGATTGCACAACAGAAACATTTTTGGGCAAGAGCATGGCATGAAATATTCAAGGTGATTGAAAAGCAAGGACCTACAACCAAGGCTACTTTACGCAGCAAGGCTATCATTTAAAATTGGTGGAGAAATAAGGAGCTTCCCAGACCAGAAGAAGCTAAAGGAGTTTGTTAACACCAAACCGGCACTGCAACAAATGTTAAAGGGCTTGCTTTAAGAAGAAGAAGAAAAAGAGAAAGGAGAAAAAAAAACAACCAGAGGACAACAGTGTAACAATAAAATGGCACTACAGACATATCAATAGTCACCTTAAATGTAAATGGCTTAAATGCTCCAACCAAAAGACATAGGGTAGCTGAATGGATAAGAAAACAATGCTGCTTCCAAGAGACCCACTCAGACGAAAAAATACATGCAGGCTAAAAGTAAATGGATGGAAAAGATATTTCATGGAAATGGAAAAGAACAAAAAAGCTGGGGTAGCAGTATTTATATCCGACAAAATAGAACTTTAAAACCAAGGCTACAGTAAGAGACAAAGAAGGATACTACATGATGATTAAGAAGATAACCCAACAAGATGATATAACCCTAGTCAACGTTTAAACATGCAACATTGGTGCATCTAAATATGTGAAGCAAATCTTGATGGACATGAAGGGAGAGATTGACAGTAATACAGTCACAGTCAGGGATTTTAATACCCTATTGACTTCAATGGCTAGATCTTCCAGACCAAAAATCAACAAGGAAACAGCAGCCTTAAATGACACACTAGATTAATGAATTTAATTGATATCTTCAGAGCATTTCACCTCAAGGCAACAGAATATACATACTTTTCAAGAGTACATGAAATGTTTTCTAGGATAGATCACATGTTAGGACACTAAACAAGTCTCAATAAGTTTAGCAAGATTTAAATCATATCAAGTATATTCTCTGACCACAATGCTTTGATACTAGGAATCAACCACAAGAAGGACACTGAAAAACACACAAATACATGGAAGCTAAATAACATGCTATTAAACAATGAATGGGTCAACAACAAGATCAGAGAAAAAATCAAGACACCTTGAAACACATGAAAATGAGGACACAACAATCCAAAACCTGTGGGACACTGGAAAAGCAATTGTAAGGGGGAAATTCATAGCGTTACAGGCCTATCTCAAAAAAAATCTAACTTCACACTTAAAAGGACCTTGAAAAAGAACAAACAATGCCCAAAGTGAGTAGGAGGGGGGGGAAAAAGATGAGAGCAGAAATAAGTTAAATAAGTCTAAAAAAGATACAAAAAAACCCCCAATGAATCCAAGAGCTGGTTCTTTGAAAAGACAAATAAGATTAAGAAAACTTTAACCAAACTCATCAAGAAAAAAAGAGAACAGACCCAAATAAACAAAATTGTAAATGAAAGAGGAGAAATAACTGACACCAAATTAATACAAAGGATTGTAAGAAAATATTATGAACAACTGTATTCCAACAAACTGGACAACCTGGACAAAATGGATAAATTCCTAAGAATATACAACCTTCCAAAACTAAATTAGGAAGAATCAGAGAATCTGAATAGACAGATTACACCTAGTGAAATTGAAGCAGTAATCAAAAAATTCCCAATAAACAAAAGCCCTGGACCTGATGACTTCACAGACAAATTTTACCAAACATTCCAAGAACTAACACCTCTTCTTCTCAAACTATTTCATAAAATTCAAAAGGAAGGAAGGCTTCCAAACTCATTTCACAAGGCAAGCATTATCCTAATTGCAAAACCAGATAAAGACACTACAAAGAAAGAAAATTATAAGCCAATATCCCTGATGAATATAGATGCTAAAATCCTTAACAAAATATTAGCAAACCAAATACAACAATGCACCAGAAAGATCATACACCATAATCAAGTAGGATTTATTCCAGGAATGCAAGGTTGGTACAACATTTACAAATCAATAAGTATGATTCACCAAGCCAAAAAAAAAAAAAAAAAAAGGAAGAAGGATAAAAGCCACATGATCATATCAATAGAGATAGAAAAAGCATCTGATAAAATCCAGCACCCATTTATGATAAAAACTCTCGGTAAAGTGGGATTACAGAGAACATATCTAAACATAATAAAAGCCATGTATGACAAAACCACTGCCAGCATCATCATACTCAAGGGCAAAACCTACAAGTTCTCCCCTTAAGATCAAGAACAAGTCAGGGATGTCTGCTTTCACCTCTCTCATTCAACATTGTACTAGAATTTCTAGTCATAGCAATCAGACAGGAAGCAGAAATAAAAGGTATCCACATTGGAAAGGAAGAAGTAAAATGGTCTTTATTTGTAGATGACATGATCCTGTATGTAGAAAATCCCAAAGATTCCACCAAGAAACTACTAGAACTGATAAATGAATTCACCAAATTAGCAGGATACAAAATTAATATCCAGAAATCAGTTGCATTTTTACATGCCAATAACAAACTAACAGAGAAGGAAATTAAGAAAACAATCACTTCACAATTGCTACAAAAAGAATAAAATACCTAGGAATAAACCTAACCAAGGATGTAAAAGACCTATACTCAGAAAATTATAAGAACACTAAAGAAAGAAATAGAAGATACAAATAAGTGAAAGCACATACCATATTCATGGATAGGAAGAATTAACATCATTAAAATGCCAATGTTACCTAAAGCAATCTATAAGCTTCAACACAATTCCT